TCTGCACACCTGTGTCCCCTCCCTGCACACCTGTGTCCCCTCTCTGCACACCTGTGTCCCCTCCCTGCACACCTGTGTCCCCTCCCTGCACACCTATATCCTCCTACCATACATACCTGTATCCCCCTCCTGTACACCTGCGTCCCCCCTCCCTGGCTGGATCATGAGATTGGTAGGGCTCCAAGAGAAGCAATTTCATTCGGGGTAGAGCCCCCACCTGGCTAAAGCCTGGGATTTGGTTCTTAGAGCCACCTGGTGTCCTGGTGGTGGTAGAGCCCCACACCCCGATGGTCCCGCCATAATCTGGGAAATCCAATGGTGTTACTCAGTCCCTGTCCCAACTCTCCAGCCTCCCCAGCAAGACACACCGCAGCCCCCACTCAGGCCTCTGCCCCTCACCCCCCACTGCCCACACCCACTCCAGCTGAGCCAGCTGATACTTCTCAGCATGCCTCCCACCCCTGCCAACACCTCTGCCTGCCTGGATACACTTCAGCCCCCTCCCCCACATCACCATTGGGCTACCCTTCTGTCATACCTGACCTTCTCAGCAGAGGACCCCTCCCCCAGCTGGAAGAGGTGGCCCAGAGCCAGGAGAAGGGACAGTGCCTCAAGCCCCCTTTCCCAGGACTGCTCTGCTCTGAAAGGCATTTTCGCAATTAAAAGGAAATGCCTTGGTTGAGGGGTGGGGAGGGCCTTGGTTGCGGATGGAGACCAAGTGGGCACACCCCTTCAGGTTTGGTTACATTTTTCTCACTTTGGAAGGAACCCAAAAAATTAGAGTGAGCCCTTCAGGGCAACGGCCGTGGCCCCTGAGGTCAGCTGCAGGAGTTTCAGGGGTGGGGCAGGGGCAGCCCCACAGACGTGTGGACCGAGCTCACCCTGGGAGGCTTTGGTTGGCGCCTACAGCCTGTCCCCTTTTGCCTCCTGTTGCCCCTCATGTAACTGGACCTTGTCTTCTCCACCTGAGGTGGGCTGGACCTGGGTTCCCAGTGGGCAGGCAGTGCCGTGTTCCCCACCACCATCAGATATGTGTGGAGGCTCCTGCCCAACCGTATCCACCAAGGGGCCTGTCAGGGTCAGAAACCCGGCTAGATTTTTCTTTCACACGTAAGCATAGGTTCACTTCATTAGAAACATTCCTCTCAACCTGCTGTGTCCCTCTGTGCAGAGGGTACCCCAGTAATCCTGACCCCCAACACCTGAAGGCCAGACACCATGCCACCACCCACAATGCTAGGCCTGGGGAGCCCTTCAGTCTGGGGATACTGGGTATGACCTGAGCCCAGGGGTAAAGCTGGTGACCAAGAGGCCATTCAGGACCCAAGTTTGCTTGGGGGGCCTGGGACACAGCCACCACTCAGTCCCTCCCTCCTGCCTGCAGGGGCGCAGATGTGAGGCGCAGATCTGGTGGCTGGAGGAGAGGTCACTGGGAAAGGGCCATCAGAAGGACAGGACAGGCAGGACCCCAAGTCTGTGAGCAGCTCTGTCCTTCCCACAGAACGGTCACCTCTGCTGGAGGACGTGATCCCTGCTCCCCAGATACTCTGGACACAAAGCTTCTCCCCCAGGGCCTTGGCCACTGGGTCACGTTGCCCTGGGCAGCAGCCTGTTTGGGTACCCCCTCAGCTTCCCCTTAGCCCTCGAGGCTCCTGCCCACCTAAGCCCACTTCCTCTTAGCTGCCATCGGTCATGGTTTGTCTATGACTGTTGGCCTTGGAGGGAGCCAGTGGGCCCACTGTGCCCATGCCCACAGCAGCCCCACCTTCACACTCTGGGCAGAGGCCGTCTGGGCCAGCTCCTTAGATGTCACCTCCCTCCTGTCACCTCCCTCTAAGCTGAGTGTCACAGAACAATGTCTGGAATCCCACACACCCAGTGTGACTTCCAGGCAGGTTGCTGGGTCTCTCTGCCCGGAAACTAGCTGAGTGTGTGTTCAGAGGGACCGGCAGCTTCGATGGTACGGGCACCAGGTACTCACCCCAGCAATGGGCTTGTACACAGGTGGGCAGTGAGCCCTCTGGGGACAGGGCCAGGTGGGAAGGGCCACAGTAGTTCATAACCATGGTCCTCACAAGCCACCTGCATAATTACAGGCTGAGGGCAACGGTGTGTGTGGGGGGGAAGGGGGGGTGTGGACACCACAAATGACAGGTCCAGCTGCCCTCAAGGGCTGCTCACCATCTCCTGGGAGAGGTGGGCACCTGCCCCGGCTGGTCTGAGCAGAAGTACATCCCTGAGGTACCACTAACTGCAGACAGTCAGTCAGGGGTGGAACCCCGAGCCCACATTATCCTGGGTGACCCGGTCCAGAAACCAGAGGGTCTTCTGAGACCCCATCCCAGACACTAGCATCCCAGCCGGCACCAGGGCAGGGCCCAGGACTTGAAGCAACAAACAGTGGAAGGGAGTGTCCCCCATACCACATTCCTGTCCTCATCCAAGGGAAGCAGGAAATTTGTCTGGGTCCCCAGGTGCCTACTGAGACAGCCCACCATCCTAACCCTGTTGCCCACCTGGGGTCGTCACTGTGCTGGCCCTGCTCAGACGGACCCTGGTGAAAGGGAAACCCCCGCTTCTCCGCTCTGGGCACCCTTCACCGCAGGACACACCCTCACCCCCTCAGTCACATCAGCATCAGGAGAGGGGCCCAGGCTGAGAAGGGTAGGACTACACCGTCCGGCTGTTGCTGGTTACACTCCCACCTTCCCAGAGCTGTGTCAGGGACCCCCAACAAGCCAGCCAATTGGAAACCATTACCCTGGTCTTGAAGTTTCTTGCCGTTTAAAAAAGAATATCCATTAGATTTCTAGGACAGAAATCACTATGATAATTAGGTAACACAAAACACATCTTAGACCGGATTTGGAGCTAGAAGGATTCAGAACAATGTCTCTTCAACTCATGTGCCCCCATAAGGCCCTGAGCAACCCCCGGCAGGTGCGCACGTCCACAGGGAGCAACCACGCACTCACTCAACAACACTCACTCTCCCGCGCACACGGACGGCGGGCGCTACCTGGCGCGATGAGGTTGTGATGTTTGCAGTGCACGATGGCGGCCACCAGGAGGCCCTTGAGGACGCACAGGACCTTGCTGGGCACGATGTGGCCGCAGCTCTGGGAGCCGCTCTCTGAACTGGCGCTGAAGACGTCGTCCGCTGTCCACCGCTCCAGGCCAGCACCGTCCTTGGGGACGCCCAGGCGGCACCACGCAGGGCTGTCCCCGGGCTCGGTGGCAGCCGGCTCCTCCATCAGGAAAGCCTCGGTCTCCAGCCCCAGGGGCACCTCCAGGCTCAGGGGCTCCTCGGAGGAGCGCAGCGCGAACTGGAAGGCCCCCAGGTCGCGGGAGTAATCGACAAGGAAGCGGGGGTCCAGGGCGTGCACGCGCTCCAGCACCGTGAGCAGCACGTCCTCCGCGCGCTGGAAGTCCTGGGCCCGGGGCGCCGCGCGAGACCGCACCGCCTGCAGGTAATGGTGCCACAGAGGAACCTGCACGGCCATGCTGGCGGCGGGCGGACGGCGGCCACGGAATCGATCCAGGTGAGGGCGCAGACGGCGGCGGAGCACCTGCGGGTGCGGGCGGACCTACCCCACCGCGCAGCTGATCTGAGTGTGGGCGCGGCGGCGGCGGGCAGGCGGACTAAATAGCTGAGCGGGACCGAGGCCTTTGAAGTGGGTGAGTCAGTCCCCAGCAATCAGGAATGTCACCGGGGCCTTGGCCCGGCTCCACTCTGCCGAGGCACGCCCCCTCCCACCCACCCCAGCCCAGAAGCCGCTCAGGGCCCTCTCTCGCGGGCTGAACCCCTCGGTGACGGCCCCCGATTGTTGCCCAGCAACCTTCAGGAGCCGCGGGGAGGGTCTCCGTGACGTCAGGTCCTAGCCGCCCCGCCTCCCCACGAGATGGGAGGGGACATGTCCATTGCTCAGACAGGTAAGGTGAGGCTGGCGGGAGCTTCCCGGAGTCTGGCGTGTGGGAGTCGCCCCCTACTCCCCCCGGGTGGTGTGCGGAACTCTTAACCACCCACATAGTCCTTATACCTAACGCCTGGGCCCAACTGAAATGCCAAGCGCTGCCATCGCCCACCTTGAGCTCTGAGCCCTCCCTGCCCCCACCCCGGAGCCGGCCTTCTGGGAGCCAGCACCCACCTGGGTCTGGAGCTAGGGTGTCCTCTCTCCAGCCCCAGCACCTGCGCTGGGCACCGCCTACCAAAGCTGCACAAGTCCCAACCGGCAGGAGACAGATAACGCCCCCGCGACCCTTGGCCCTTCCGCTGGAGGCTCAGCCACAGGAGGCTGCAAACAGGAAGCCGAGCCTCTGGTCCCCACCCTACAGTCTTCCAGGAAAACCACGGAGGAACCGCAGAGTGACCAGAAATGGACGCCCCTTGCGGGGCTGCAGCGGGTGGGTCTGTGCTCTCAGGCCGTCCTCTGAGAATCCCCCTAGCTCCGCTCCCACCAGACTACTTCCCCCCTGGAGTCTGACCTTTCTGCCCTCGGCCCCCTGTCTCTCCAGCATATTCTGTGTGGCTACTCCGGATTTGGGGGTGGGGGTAGTCACCCGCCTCAGCCAGCTGCCTGGGGCTCAGAGGCTGGCAGCTCACTGCCCAGCTCTGAACTTGGCTTTGGATCGATCTATGAAGTGGTCCTACTCTCTTAGGAGACCCTGCAGGTCCTCCAGAGCAGCCCACCTCCCTCTAGGTGTCTTAGTACAACCCCCACCCCCACTTCCTGACCCCAACCCATGACCCCAGACCTCCCCAGGCCGGGCCTCAACCCCCTGGTTCTCCTCTCCAACCGGCCCCAGCTGGGCACCCGTTTTGCTGAAGCCCCCTCCCCCTAACAAGGCACCCCATACAGCTCAGTGTCTTCACTCAGTGTTCACAGGTCCTCCAATCTCCAAGTCTGCCCACAATCTTCAGACACCGGCAAGCTCGGGTAGCTCCACATCATTACTTACTTCTAACCTGCTGGCTAAAGTGTGGGGTTCCCTGTACTCCTCAGGTCACCCGCCTAAGCTCAAGGTCCACGCTACCTCTTGAGTTTGATAACTTGCTTGGACAGCTTACAGAGCTGAGAGGAAAGCACTGTCGTTAAGAATTACAGCTTTAATATCACAAAAAGGGCGAGATCTGGGAGGGTCCCCAACACGAGATTCCATTTCCCAAAAAGGGTGTGTCACTCTGCCAAGCATTCACACCAATTAGGAAATCCATCCATAAATCCATCCATGGACTGTCCAAGCCCAGAGCTTGTCCTGGAGCCTCACAGTGTAGGCGGAGTCCCTGGGTGGGGCCAGTGTTCACCCACAGACCTCTAGGAAGAATGATGAGGATCTACGTGTGAAAAGTTAGCCACTGGAAGCCCTGCAGAGTGCAGTCCTACTGACACAAATGGGGACGTGAGTTAGAATCATGGCAACGGTTGATTGAGTCCCTTCCTCTCCCCTAAGCTTGCCTGACGTCACATGGGTGCATGAGGTCTTTCTGGCCTGGGCAGTCCCTTCCCAAGAGGCCCCTTGGGTCTGAAGATCTCTTCAAAGCCACCTCTGAGATGCCAAGGGTCCGAGGTTCCCCACCGAGGGTCACTGTGAGTCAGAATTGATTGACTCGATGGCACTGGGTTGATTGTTCTTGTGGGAACCAAGACAAAGACCAAATTCTCCTGGTAAAGTGAGATTGTCTGACTTGAGAACTGCTGTTCAGCTCAGGCCCATACCTCAGTTAGCCTGTGGCTGGGTACAGGCCACAGGACACCCTGAGGAAGTGGTGCCCCTGTGGCCGGGGGGTGGAGGGCAGCTGGTTTTCTTTCTAATACTCCATGGGAGCAGGTGTGAGCAAGGTCCTGGTGAGACTTCCCACCTCCAGGACCCGCCCCCTGCAGACCCAGAGTGGATGAATCTAAGAGCCCAGGATCTGAGCTCAATGAGATCCTCTCCCCGAGCCTTTCAGTGGGACCTCCCAGTCTGGATCATCTCCCTACACCTGGCAGCCACTTGTGGTCCTCCTGGTGGTGGGCAGGCTGGAGAGACCCCAAGAGCTAGACTCCAAGGGGCAGCGTGAAGTTTCTCCCCAGCACACAGGCCAAAGGCTCACCGGGGATCCCTGAGAAGCTGGGGTGTTAATGTTTCCAAACATGAGTCTCCCAGATGCCCATCTGACCTGGCCACTCCCTGACAGGCCTCCACTGCTGTCCTGTGTCTGAGTCACCCAGAGGGTCACAGAGGCCACACACGGTCAGCAGCTCCAGGTCTGAGCTGTGCTCAAAACAGGGCTGTCTCAGTCAAACCAGACTGCTGTCCAGCAGGATACTTGTGTCCAGCATCTGCAGGTGCCCCAGCCTCGGGCAGAGCCCCCAGGACTCAGTCCCACCCTTCTGAGCTGTCTCACTATCTTTGAGAGACAGGTCGGCCAGGCAGGCCATGACCTGGGGGGATGGAGTCACCAGTGGATGGAGACAGTGACCGTGAGCCAGATCCAGATCCCAGAGCAGATTGTGGGGACAGGGGGGCAGAGGCTGGGATGGGTAGGGGTGCGGGGGACAGAAGGCTCTGCATTCCTTTGTGTCCCTCCCTCTTCCTGAGTTGCCCTGCCTCTGAACCCGAGGCCTGTCAGCCAGGAGGAGTGAGGTCAGAACATTCATGAGTCATGGACCTTCACACAGGAAGCATGTGGGTTTCGGGTCCCTTCCCCTCCAGGAAGGCTCTGGCCTGGCTGCAGGGTCTCTAGCCATGAGGATCAGTGGATAACATGGAGATGTGAGATGAGTGGACACTACTGGCCACTCTGACTCAGGGTGCCCATGTCCATCATGGCAGGGGCCCCAGGATGCTGAGTTCTGGGAGCTTGGGGTCCACAGTGCGATCCTTGTGTTGTGTACATAGCGGAGCCCTATTTACAGGACCAACAGAATGAGCAAGCCCCAAGTGCCCATGGCAGACAGAGGGTCCCATGAGTGGTCAGAACTCCTCCCACAGGGCACTGAGCAGACTCTCCAACCCGAAGGACACCAGCAGTCCTTTAGGGTCAGGGGATCAACCTTCATTCAGGTGGGGAGCCCCCGTGCAGCCCTTTAGGGTTAAAGGAGCTTGGAGGTGGCCCTTTAGAGTTGGGTGGGGTGGGGAGGTGGCTCCATCAAAGTCAGGGAGCCCTGGGGCAGCCCTTTAGGGTTTGGGAGCCTGGGGTGGTCCCTTTAGGGTTGGGGAAGCCCACAGCTGGCCCTTTAAGGTTGGGGGAGCATGGAAGTGGATCCATTAAAGTTGGGGAGCCCTTTAGGATTGGGGAGCTCAGAGGGGTCCCTTTAGGGAACAGTTGTGGCTCAGATGCCAGATATCCAGAGGTGGCCAGAAGAAGCCTGGCCTTCGCTGTGTGAACCCCTCCCCATTGTCCCCCACAGGGCACCTTCCCAGCCTAGAACCTGGAGCAGGGTTGCCGAGCAGTGAGGCAGAGGCTGGGGGCTGCCAGGCCCTCTGCATGGTCACCAGGGGTGTGAGGGTGGGGCCGTAGGCTGAGGGGCTGCAGGGTAAGTAACATGATCCAGGTGTTCTGAGGTGGACCCGTTCTGGTGTGGCGCTGTTCAAACCCACTAGCTGCTCCTCAGAAACCTGTACAGGGTTACTGTGAGTTGGAACCAGCTCATCGGCACTTAACAACCACACAGTGGAGAACAGGGATGGAGAATAGGCCATGGAGGCAGGAATTGGAGGAGACATGAGGCCCCATTAGTGGGAGCCACAGTCACAGAATACCTAGTGGAGGGGGTGAGGGTCACCCGGCAGAGTCTGCCTTGGGGGACAACACGGTGGGTGCCGCTTCACCTGGTGGACCAGCCATCCATTATACCCAAGATGCTCCAGTTTAGCATTGAAACCAGCAAACAGGGGCAGTTGGTCACTCCACATCCCCTGACAGATGAACCCAAGGAGTCCTCAGGGACACGCTGACCTAGAGCTGAACTGAGTCCAGGTGAGGGCTAGCCCAGGTGGGCTTGATGTGGTCTGTCAGGCCCCAACTGGTCATGGAAACTTGCTGCTAACCTTGCCCTCAACACACCCCCACCCTGCAACAGAGACGTCTCTCAGAGGGGCTTTCCAAAACCCAAAGTGAAGTGCCCCTCCCGCACTGCCTTGTCCCCCTACGGCCCTGGGCCCCTAGGAAGACATGTGACGCCACAGGCAGGTATGAAATACGTTCCCTACAGATCAGAAACCGGGCTCCCAAGTCCAAGTTCAGCTTCAGTCCGTGGCTCCTCTAAATGCTAAACTGCAATTGTGATTCTAAACCAGGCGGGGGTCTGAGTGCTGCCCCACACAGGACTTGGCCAGCAGGTTTGTCCACTTCTGGGGTGCCTGTCCATGTCAGGGTGGGTCTGACAGTCCCCACACCTCCCCAGGTGTGGATCCTCAGGTGGACAGTTCCCTAGGGCGTCCCCAGGTCTCCCTGAGAAACAGCAGGGCTTCCTGCGTTTCCTAGTCCCCATGGCAACCGGCCCTGCACTCCTGTTTC